TGTTTTCCCTTTCAAGTGAGCCCCGTTCCACATGTGCCCAGATAAATTCCTGGCTACATTAGGGAGTTGTTTGAGACATTTGTCTATGGGGCTAGGGGTGGAGTGACTGAGAACAGTGGGATTACCTTGAACACATGTCTTCGCTGCCTCCTGGCCCTGCCATTGCCTCTGCTGTCCTGGTGAATATTGACCCTTGTCTGATCTTCTTGGAAGTGCACATTCAGCTCCAGAGAGGGATTATTCCAAGTGCTTCAGAATAAACCTTCCAGATCAAAGAAGGAAATTTAAGAGGAAGATCCAGGAGACACTCACTTGTCAGTTATTGGGATAGACTGTCACAATGATGGCAGATCATATCAATAGGTGACTGTGACCATAGCTCTCTCCAAAACTGGCTCTTCACCTTTCATCTTGTGAGTTGGAGCTTGCTGTTCTGAGCTCATGCTTTGGTAACATTTCCTGCTACTTCTTTGGGAGACATGTCATGTGGAAGCTTCCAGTACTTTGAGGGTTTTCTTTTTCAACTATAGAGTGAATATTTGAAAAGTAAGACAGACTTCTTAGTAAAACTTTTATGACTTAAAGAAGTAATGGAGGGGTGAGACAATGCGAGAGATAAATAATGCCTAGCTAGTTTTGAAAACCAGAGGGAACCATATTACTCCTACAACCTACTGACACATTATACATAGCAGATCCAAGAAATATATGTCTAGGTAAAGTTTATCTGAGAACAGTCGGTCTTTGCCCAAGATTTATCTACATGACACACAGTAATTAAAAGTACCAGACTGGTGGAACTAACCTTCTTAGATGTTTAACAGACATACTTTGAGGCCTATACTAATTTGGTCAGAGGGACATGAAGGACAGTTTTTGCTCCTTGCCCTCCTAGGTCGACTAGTTCCAGGAGACTATGAGCATCTCTCAAAATGTCCTGTAATTGTGGTGGGTCACCTGTCCTCTTGATCAAGGAGGCTGAGGAGACCCCACCAGATGGACTTGAACCAGTGTCCAGTCTACAAAGAGGAGGGTCAACACAGAGGAATCATTTCCTCCATGCTTCCAAGCAAAGCCAACCATGGTTGAGCAGGACTTTTGACTTATCTTCACATAAGTGGAACTTCCCAAGCCCATGTGACCCCTGAGGAACAGATCCTCTAATGACCTTAAGAGTAAAAATAAATTGGTTTATCTGGGCCCACTGTATGGCCTTAAATACCCAAAGGAAAGTATAATCAAAGATTAAAAGGGTCAATATAATTTCGAGTCCATATGTATAGCTAAAGGCTACATAACAAGCAACAATGCCAGACAGGTGGTACCTTCTTTTGAGTTATTGGCCAGGGTGGCCAAAGGGGCTCAAGATAGTAACCCAGCATAGAACTGGGAAAATGAACAGCAGACCCCAATCTTATCTAAAGGAGTATTGACAACTGATTGCTGCTAGAAGAGAAACAGCTGACCCTCCTAAAACAAAGACCTCTAGACAGGCTGACTAGATCCACCAGATGGACAAGTAGTGGGGGAATGGCTGGGGGTGCCGACAACATAGCAGACAATAGCAGGAATATCATAATGTAAGGGCTCTAGGTGGGGGGAGGGAGGCTATGGGAGGGTGCTACCTGGGAAGTGGGTGTATAGTTGAATAAGATGGTTTGGGATGTTCTGTGTGAT